CGCCCCTGAAAGAGACACGGGCTCCTGAGACATGCGTTGCTGGGAAAGAGACGCAAGAGATATGCATTGCTGAGTGAGACACCGAGGGACCAGCACTGCTGGGAAAGAGACTGTGAGAGACTGTTGGCGGAGGGACGGTGGGCTGGGAGAGAGACTGAGCATTTTTCCTGAACTGGAATTGTAGCCTGTGGTGCTTCCCTAATAAACCCTGTAATCTGTGAGTTCTGTGTGGCCGCTGCAGTGAATTATCGAACCCAGGAGAAAGGTGGTGGGTGCTTTGGGAGGAACGGTTGGAGGAAGGGCTGGAGGGAGGCAGCATGTCGGGCTTCTCAGGAATAGGCCTTGGGTTACTGCTGGTAATCCTGTCTTCCTCTTGTAGGGTTAGAGGAGGTCGAACATGTGGCTTCCTTGCCGTTTTTGCGATGTGTATTTAATTTGTTTCTCTGGGTGTGGTAGTGTCATCAGTGATAACATTTGTATTCCATAATCCTTCATGGGAGTAAGGCAAAGTGTCTTGATGCCCAGCCTTTACTTTTCCACTGGTCTGCATGGTACCTCCACGTCTGTCGTCTCTTGTGTGAGCTGGACTTCTTTAACGGTGTGGGAACCCTTTTGTGAGACGGCTGTGGTGAGTTACAGGCTGGCAGGATGGCACAGTGGAGATAAGTGCGTAGGGTGTTGAACTTGTGGTCTTCACCTCATTTATATGATGTCCTCATGAGATGACTGGACCAGCTGCAGGTTACTACATTGCTGTTTACAATGACAAGGTTATCGTGACATAATGTTTATTAAATTGCTTGGACAAAAATCAAAGAGTTACTATGTAGAGTACTGTTAGGAGTCCCTAGATGGTACAAACAAAAGCACTCAGCTACTAACTAAAAGGTTGGCGATTTGAATACACCTAGAAGTACTTGGGAAGAAAGGATCATTATTTTAAGAAACCTGTGACTTATATAGGAGCTCTGGTAGTGCAGTGGTTAAGATATTTGGCTGCTAACCAGAAGGTCGGCAGTTTGAACCCACCAACGGCTCTGTGGGAGAAAGATGAGGCAGTCTGCTACTATTAAGATTTGTAGCCTTGGAAACCCTATAGGGCAATTCTACTTTGCCCAATAGGGTAGTTATGAGTCAGAATGGGCTTGATGGCAGTGGGTTTGCGTGGATATGTGTCTTTTTATTTATTTATTTATTTATGCAGATGACAAAATTATGCTGCTACTTTATCACTCTATTAGCCAGTGAATTTGCTTAGTATTCTTTGGTAAATACAAATTTTGGAATTTGTAGGTTATTGGCGGATTCTTGAATTTGATTATGAGATGAAACTTCTGAATCATATAACTCAGCTTGTGGATTCTGAATCGTGGTCTTTTAGTAAAGTTCCTTTGAATACCTGCCTTCAGGAACTTGGCCCACTGGAACCAGCGTAAGTATTTTGATTTCTTGTCCCTCTGGATTTTGCTAAGGGGCAAAAATTGTTTTCCAGACCAGAACTACACCCAGAGCATATGTTATTTACCTTTTGATTGCTTCCATTTAAAAAAATATACAGCCCACAAAGGATTTGGAAATTTTGCTTACTGGCTAAGTATATATGTATCATCTTTTTTTCCTTGCATAAAAAAAAAAAAATAAGTAGTTCTTAAGTTTGAGCTATTTTATAGTAAGTGTATGCTTACATAAATCACGTAAAAATGTTTGCTTAGTGCTTGGCACATAGTAGCTTCCCAGTACGTTTTAGTTAATTCCAAATGTAAGTAAACTATTACTTGTTAGCCAAAATCACTTACTATTTCAAATCTGAAATTTATATCTTAGTCTCTAGTTGGAAGCATTGAGTCTCAAAATATAATATATAAGAACATTGATAACTTTTCAAATTGGTGCTTTAAATTTTTCAGGGAAATGATAGAACACTGTCTTAAATGTTATGGAAAGGAATATATAGATGAAGGTAAGATTTAAAGGTACTCTAATGGGTATTTTAATGCTTGTGTGTTAATGGTATGCCTTTGTAAAGTGTGTTTGTAATTAAAAGTAAGAACCCATGTGGTTGGAGGAGGTTATTACTGAAGGGTATAATTCCTTCTGAGAATCCACTGAGAAAAAGGAAACTGTTACTATATTTAATTTCAAGAAGACAATATACATATCTGGTTCTTTCTCTTCAGGTGAAGTTTATTTTGAATTGAATGCTGATAATATCTGCAGAGCCACAGCACAAATGCTACTTCAGAATGCAGTGAAGTTCAATCTCGCTGAGTTTCAAGAGGTTTGGCAACAGAGTGTTCCTGAAGGGATGGTAACAAGGCTTGATCAGCTTAAGGTAATAACAGACAGCAGTTATTCCCATAATTCAGTGGGCTGTCATTCATTGAAGAGCTCTGGTGGCGTAGTGCCTAATGCATTTGACTGCTAACCAGAAGACCAGTGGTTTAAACTCACCAGCCACTCCTCAGAAGGAAGATTGGGCAATCTACTTCCATAGTGACACTGCCTTGGAAACCCAAGGAGTGGTCGCTATGAGTCGGATCTGACTCGATGGCAGTGGGTTTGGTTTTTTTTTTTTTTTTTTTTTGCCATTCATTATTAGGTGAAATGAAACTTATACTGGAACTGAATTTGGAGCCAGTTTATTTTCGTAGTCATCCATCAGGAGTGCACCTCTCTCAGTCCATCACAAAATCATTTCTTAAAAAAAGAACTTTATTAAGGTATAATTCACATACCACGAAATTCACCCTTAAAAAATGATTTCCAGTAAATTTAGTTTTTCAGCCATTACCACTATGCACTGCTAGAACATTTCTGTGATTTCAAAATTAGTTGTTAATCCCTTTTCCCATCCTACAATTCTCTCCTACCCCACCAACAGCAATAGCAGCCCTCAGCAGCACCCCCTGCACTTCCAGTATTTCCCGTCTCCAAACCATGTTCTGAGATGCTGCTAGAATGGTCTTTTAAAAATGCCAGTCATGAATCTTGTGTAAAGCTCTTTTGCACAAAAGAGAACCTAAAGACTTGGAAAAAAATTTGGCAATGACCTATCAGACAAGGGACTAATCTCTGAAAGTTATATAAAACTTCAACACCTCAACAACAAGAAAACAAAGAGTCTAATTAAAAAATGGGCAGAGGACATGAACAGACACTTCACCAAAGAAGACATTCAGGAGGTGACCAAACACCTAAAGAAATGCTCTCAATCATTAGCTATTAGAGAGATGCAAATCAAAACAATAATGAGATATCATGTCACCCCAGCACTAATGTTGTTGTTATTATGTGCTGTCAAGTCAGCCCGACTCATAGTGATCCCTCCTTGGGTTTCCGAGGTGGTATCACTACAGAAGTAGATTGCCCAACCTTCTTTCTGAGGAGTGGTTGGTGGGTTTGAACCACCAGCCTTCTGGTGAGCAGTCAAGTGCCTTAGGTACTATGCTACCAGAGCTCCTCCAGCACTAATAGCAAAGTTCAAAAAAGTAGAAAACAACAAATGCTGGTGAAGATATAGAAAGACTGGAACCCTCCTACACTGCTGGTGGGACTGTAAAATGATACAACCACCGTGGAAAATACATGGTGCTTCCTTAAAAAGTTGGAAATAGAAATACCATATAATCCAGCAATCCTACTACCTGGTATATATCCTAGAGAAGTAAGAGCAGTGACATGAACAGACACATGCACACCCATGTTCATCGCCCACGTTCACAATAGCAAAAAGATGGAAATAACCTAAGTGCCTGTTACCATATAAATTATCCAAACAAATGATGGTGCATACACATAATGGAGTACTACACAATGTAAAAGAATAACTGAATCTGTGACACCTCATAATGTGGTGACCCCGGAGGACATTATGGTAAGTGAAGTTAGTTAATCACAAAAGGATAAATATTATATGAGACCACTAGTGTAAACAAGAAAAGGTTTACATACACACAGAGGGAGAGAGAGAGAGAGAGATAGAGAATAGTCCTTAATTCACAATGTGATTCACCAGTTTTAGTTGCCACATTTTGAAGGATTGAACTATTCCTTGCTAGACGGAAGGGCAGAGCCAGCAGCCCAGGGAGAGCATGTTCAAAGGTGTGAAGGTGTGAAACAGTGTTGGGTGGCTGTTGGTAGGTCTGCATGACAGTGAAGAGTGCTGGTGAGTTAGTCAGAGGCACTATGGACTAGTCAAAGAATTTCAGCTCTCTGCAGAAAGCTCTCTGGGGCCTTTCAGTGACATGAGTTAGCATAGTTACCTGATTACCTTTGGAAAGATCACTATGGCAGTAGTCAGGAGTGTGGATCGAAGATTGGTTAGATTATGTAAAACTAGAACTGTTCAGGCCCTTGACACTGAAATAGTCCTAATTAAGATAGTTCTGGCCACGGTAATGGGTAAATGGACAGAGGAAGAGAAGAAATTAGTGAGAAATGGACAGTGACTCTCAGTTTTCAAAATCCTTAGGACTTGGCAAGCACTTAGCTATGGGGTTTGGATAGTGGAATCTAGGATGATACCTGGGTTTTCTGTTTTCCTGTGATAGTGGGGCTAGAGCAAGTTTAGATGCAAAACACAATGAGTTCATGTATCAATTTGGATATAGAGGCATTGTGCTCAGAAGAGAAATCTGACCTGAAAATACCGATATTACAGACATTAGCAAGTGAGTGGTGGTTCACGCCACAGGTTTAGACGAGGTCATCCAGGAAACAGTAAGACCAGTAGAGAGGTTGGGATTGAGGGCTGGGAACTGCAAATCAAGTTCGGAGGAAAGTAAGGTCACAGTGATGTCAGAGATGCTAAAGGATGAGGAGGACTCAAAGAGGAGGAAGGAGTGATCAACATAAACAAAGAAAGCCAGGCTAAGGGAAAGGGCCCGCTGGGCTTGGCAACGATAGGTCCTTGGGGACCTTCAGAACTGGAGACCTTTTGATACACTGGTGGTAGTAAAAGCTTACAGAAGAGAAAAGGGGAAGAAAAAGTTTAACCCTGAAATCACTGCTTAAAGGAACTGTAGTTTTTGAAAAGGGCTATTATGAATCTCTCAATAGTTTGTGTTGCTGATACTCTGTAAATACCTTGGGCTAAGCTAAGTGTGGGAGCTCTGGTAGCATAGTGCCTAAAGCACTTGACTGCTAACCAGAAGGCTGGCGGATCAAACCCACCAGTCACTCCTCAGAAGGAAGATGGCGCAATCTACTTCCGTAGTGGTACCACCTCAGAAATCCAAAGATGGGTCGCTGTGCGTCTGGTCCGACTCGACTGGTACATAACAACAACAACAACAACAACAACAAGCTAAGCATAAAGAGCTCTGGTAGCGTAGTGCCTAAGGCACCTGACTGCTAACCAGAAGTCTGGCGGTTCAAACCCACTAGCCACTCCTCGGAAGGCAGGTTGGGCAATCTACTTCCATAGTGATACCGTCTAGGAAACCCAAGGAGGGGTCGCTATGAGTCGGGGCCGACTCAACAGCACATAACAACAAACAACAACAAGCTAAGAGTAAAGGTCAAAGTGCTTCACGTTTGTAATTAGAGCATTGCTCTAACTGCCCTTTTCCCTCTCACTTCTTGTAGGGTTTAGCACTTGTGGATAGACACACGAGACCAGAAATCATATTTTTATTGAAAGTAGCTGATCTGCCGGAGGATGATCAGGCACGTTTTAACAGTCTGTTCTCTCTAAGGGAGAAATGGACAGAAGAAGATATTGCTCCGTATATTCAGTAAGTAGTTTATTAAAATGGGTTTGGAGAGTTGTTTGCCTTTTAAGAAAGAGTAACAGGGTTTTAGATTTATTAATAGAACCACTTTCTGAGTATTCCCTGAGGATACTATTTCCTTGGAAACTTCCTGGAGTGGTGACTGTCTCTCTTTCCTGCTCTAGAAGTTACTGTTCTTGGGGGTGGAGCATGTGTGTCCTTCTTAGTACTGTACCTGAAACCACTTCTCTGCCATCTTCCCTGCAAAACCCCAGCTCTATGAGGGGCGGGCTGTCATCTCTCCACCCCATCGTGACTTTTAGGCGTGCACTCCTCTCTGATGGCTACCTCCCGTCTTTCCTGCTGCCTTTAATCCAACACCCCCTGTTCACATTTTGGTGGAAGCCAGGTTGCAGGGGAAAATGAGAAGGAAGGGAAAAGCCCTGATGTCACTGCTGCTTATTGTTAGCTGCTGTTGTTGGCTCCAACTCATGGCAGCCCCACGGGAAACAGAACAGAACTACCTGGTCCCATTCCATCCTCATGACTGTTGGGATACTGAGTCCTTTGTTGCCTTCCAACCCAGAGGGTTCATCTCCAGCACTGTACTGGGCAGTATGCTGTGGTGATCCATAGGGTTTTCATTGGTTAATTTTCAGAAGTAGATTGCCAGGCTTTTCTTTCTAGTCTTTCTTTGGGATGATTGTGAAGATGGACAGGACCAGGCAGCATTTGACTTGGTTGTGCATGGGTCCCTAGGTTCTGTGACTCTAGACCCCACTACATCACATTGCTTGTGTTTCTAACTTGGAAGCTATGTGTACAATGGAAATAACGTGGACTTTGAAGTCATACAAACTTGACTGCAGAATTTAGCTCTGCCACTTATTAGCTGTATGAATTTAAGTAATTTCTCTGAGCTTTGGTTTCCTAATATCTAATATGGGTTAAGTTATATATTACTCGGACTGTTATCATGAAGATTAAATGAGATATAGCATATAATATATTTAATTCAATTATGTGTTAGGAACCTCTCCCCACCTACCTCTCCCATAGACATATACTCTAAAGCTTGTTGGAAAGGTGGATTAGGGGCAGAAAAATAAAATTATTAGAACTGTGAATTTATGTTCCCTGAGTTATTCATGTTTCTGTGTTCTGTTTTGTTTATTATTCCTACAGAGATTTGTGTGGAGAGAAGCAAACCATAGGAGCATTACTCACCAAGTATTCTCGTTCTTCAATGCAAAATGGTGTTAAAGTTTATAATTCAAGAAGACCCCTTTCTTAAAGAACCACCTCCTGTTCTTTGGGACTAATCTTGCTTTATTAAGTTGCTGGTGTAAGAAAAGAGTCCTTTCTGTATTTATATTCCTAACTTTTTTTTTTTTAAATTCCTAACTTATAAAAACCTTCTCCTTTAAAGCATTTTTTCCTCCTCATCAGCATTTTGAAATTACTGCTCTTCGTATTTTTTAAAATACAATAGGATATTTCTATATCTTTCCACTTATATTGTATTATGTAGATGGTGTAAACACTGACCAATAAAAGTGTTATTTCCTATACTTAGTATATTTCTGAGGTCTATATGGTTTTTTTAATAAGAAGGTGATTCTACTTTTTATTATATTTAAAATTTCATGTCTTTCATTAGGATTTCATGTTGTAATCATTAATATATGTAAACATTTTTTTGTTGTTGTTTTGTTGTTATGTGCCATCGAGTCGGACCTGACTCATAGCGACCCCTCCTTGGGTTACATTTTTTAGGGGACTAAATAATTTCATAGAAAAGAATTATTTACTCGCTTACATATCATTTCTCAAGTACATAACATACAGAATCCACTTTGAACCCTTCACCGTAACAGGAAATCACTAGAAACTATCAGTTATCTAAATTAGTTGTTTGCATTGATGAAACTGGCTGGTAAAAATACGTACTTTAAGACTACATGGGTTTGATCCTTAATCCTATGTGAAAACTACGAACAGCAGTTCACAATCTTATTAATAGGAAATACTGGCACAGGTAATAGTCACTAGAAAACTACAAATAATTTCTAGTTGGTTTTGGAAAGCTTGATAAAATTCTTCTATAGCTTTATTTTCTTAATTTGTTTAAGTTAAAACCAAGGTTGGGGGCAAGCCAAGTTTAAATCTGGTTCAAAGTTTAAAAAATGTTCATGGATAATCTGTAATTAATTAAGTTATTGAAATTTACAACTGTTCTGCACATGAAATGCAAACACAGTGGTTTCAAAATATACTGTTTTTCAATAAATGTGTTTGTCCTGCATTTATATAGGTTGTATACTGGAATTTCTTTCTTTTTCTTTTTCGTTTAAATACTGAGGCAATATAATGCCTAGTGATGATTCTGGAGTTAGACAATTAGACTGCTCTGATTACATTTTCATTTTAAATCACTGGGGTTTGGGAGGTTTACAATGTCTGTTCACAGAGCCAGAGAGAGGGAGGCACACCCCTCCTTTTGGGTTCGAAGATCCCCCTCATTACTGGCAAACCTAGTATCCAGACATCTCCGTGTACTTTCTCTGAATCTAATTCTTCTAAAATGCAATGTTTTTCTTTTCCTACAAGCTCTTCTTGCTTCATCCACTAAATACGTGTCTCCATTTTTCTAATCTCTAACAAATCGTACCCTCCCACGCTCTGTGTACATTAAAAAAGAAAAAAAAAAAAAAGCTGAATCGCGTAAGCCCCGCCCACTGTCACAAACTTCCGAGTACCATCCCTCCCACGGTCACACTTCCGATGACGTCGGAGGTCAGAGGTGGCAGGCAAGATGTCGGCTGATGGTACCTTTTAGCCGTTGCTAAGAGGAGCGTCTCGGTGACAGAAGTTCGGCGGAGACTGTTTAGGGGAGCCGAGTCGAGGGAAGCGAGTTTGAGGCGCCGGCCGATCCAGCGGGGTCGGATCTGAGCGTCAAGTGAGCCTCGGCCGCGGGCGATTGTGAGGTCCCGGGGAGCGGTAATGAACGGCAGTCCCCCGGGAAGTGGGGAATCCACGGTTCGCCGGACTGCTTCATGCCTCCGACTGGTATAGAGCCCGCCAGGATGAACAGGAAGAAAGGAGACAAGGGGTTTGAAAGCCCAAGGCCATATAAATTATAAGTATTTTTTTTATCATCCTCTTCCCTTATTCATCTTTTTGATTTTGTTTTCATTAATTAAATGTTGAGATTGCTTGAAACTGCCTTAATGGGCCTGGGAAACCACATCTATTCACTCTGATAGAAGTGGTGTTGATAAGGTGGAAATGTTTTGAACGACAGTTTTGTTTAGCAGATTTCATGGGCTTGCAGGGTAATAAACCTTAAAATACCAAACTATTTCGATTTCCTTTATTGTTGATAGATTTGGGAGCTCTGGTAGTATAGTGCCTCAGGCACTTGACTGCTAACCAGGAGGTTGGTGGTTCGAACCCACCAGCCACTCCTCGGAAGGAAGGTTGGGCAATCTACTTCTGTAGTGATACTGCCTCGGAAACCCAAGGAGGGGTCACTATGAGTCGGGTTTGACTCGACGGCACATAACAACAACAACAAAGTGAAATATTGAAGTGTGATTTTTGAGTTATTTAGGACATAGCATTTATTAATTCCTGGATAGAATTATGTTTTCGATTAATAATGGAAGTTATTTTTCTTTTATTTTATATTTCTAATATACAACCCACCAAGTGGTCTGCATCAACAACATAAACTTCCAGAGAAAATCTGTTGTGGTAAGTGTATTGTCAACAACTCTAAGTGGTAATAAGTCCACTGTTTAGAGTCCTTTAGAAATTGTTTTTCCAGATGTCTGTGTTTCAGGGATAACTAAGAATTAGAAGTCAGGATTGTCTGACTTCACAGCCCATGCAGGGCCTTTTTGCTAGACTGGACTGCCTCTTCAGTCTTTCCCTCCCTGCTGTTCTAGTCCCAGATTAAAATTTTATTCCTTTTTATCTGTTGTGGAATATGGAAGTCTGCATTATCAGACATTTTAGAATTGTGCATGGGAATGAAAAAAAAAAAAAGCCCCGAATGAGACTTCTGTGAAGAAATTGATTCTGATGAGTGTGCTCACTGGTTTAACTTGGCCACTAAGAGGCCAATTTTGTTTCCTGATTCTTGGCTAATACGATTTAAGTGGCATTACTTTGTAGTGACATTTTAGATGAAGTTTTTGAGATCTAGGGGACCTCCTCTCCCCTATTTCCCTCCTCTCCCCTATTTCCATGTATGGATTGCTAATATAAACCATTCTGGAAAAATCCATGAGAAATACTTAATGAACTCTCTCAGGAGGAATTGTATTAAATAGTCTAAAATCACAGAGCTGTTTCTTTAGAGTGATGGTGTCAACTTCTTTCTCACACTTGTTACTCCTGTATGTCTGTGTTTACTTAGAATGAGCTGTATAGATAGAAAAATGAAACCTTTTCATAAGACTCATAGACTTAGATTGATATGAAGACTAATTATAGTATATAAGTACTTGCATTCACACTAGAAGATTTCAGAAGCATCATTCTTAAATAGGAGGGAAGATGGATACATGTAGCAGGACAAGAGAATTGATGGTTGACAGAAGAGTGGTTCTAGTCAAGGATCCAGGCTGAATGGAGGAGTCGGCTCTCCTGTTATTGACGGCTGGGGATGATAAAGCTGTAGAATCCCTGGGCTTTTGAGCAGTTGGGCTGAAGGTTATCCAGAAACTTTGCATCTTATTTAAAAGACTTGTATATTACAGCGTGGTGGAAAGAGCATAGACTTTGGAGTGGATTTGAATCTCAGTTCTATACTTATTAATACTATAATGTTCTTACAGACCTCTGATGACGTAGTGGGTGAGGGATTTGGGTGCTAACCAGAAAGTCACTGGTTCAAACCCACCAGCAGCTCTGTGGGAGGATGATGAAGCAGTCTACTTCCATAAAAATTTACAGCCTTGGAAACCCATTGGGGGTCGCTATGAGTTGAAATTGACTCTATGGCAGTGGCTTCCTGGGTTATAATGTTCTCAGCCTGATTGTTATATATAAAACTTGCAAAGTAGTATGTATCTCTTAGAGTTGTGATGATTAGAGATAACATATGAAAGTATCCAGTGTAATATCTAACTGCCTAATTCATGGCCATTGAGTCCTATAGCAACCCTGTAGGATAGAGTAGAGCTGCCCCATAGGGTTTCCAAGATTGGAAACCTTTATGGAAGTACACTGCCTCATCATTCTCCCATAAATGTAATATCTCCATAGTGTAGTATCTGTATTTGGTGAGCATATAGTAATACTTGTCAAATAGTAGCCATTAAAAGTGTTATGATCCAGTCATGTCTGTATTTCATCTTGCATACTTTGGATGCAGCCTCTGAAATTTTCCTATACATTTTGCAGCTCCTGAAATAATTGCTGTTTGATTTCATGCCCTCTGATACTTTGTTTGAGTGCATCAGTTTTGAACTCAGGACGTAGATTCCGTGTTCCATCTCTCTGCCTTTGCCGTTTGATTCACTACCAGAGGAGTTTGGGTGGTTGGTGCATTTGGCTTTCTCTCATTCTCAGTTGTATGCTTCAGGTTGATTGCACACCACCCAGCTAACTTGTAAGCACGATATACGGCTCCTGTGGACTGCTTGCTGTGAAATCATCCACCGCTGAACATCTGCTTCTTCTGGAGGCAGTAATAGATTTTCCGCTGCTTGCCTGAGTGCCTCTTGTCCCTTTTACCGCTTCATGTGGCCTGATGGTTGTCAGCGCCCCTGGTGTAGTTGGTTTTGTTTTTCTAGACCATTCGTGTGTGTATGTGAAGTTCTTTTACTTACCAGCCTCCTGGTTTTAAGGAACCCTGGTGGGACAGTGGTTAAGCACTTAGCCACTAAGCAAAAGGCCCATGGTTAGAACCCACCAGCTATTCTGTGGGAGAAAGAAGTGGCAATCTGCTTCTGTAGAAGATTTATTACAACCTTAGAAACCCAATGGGACAATTCTGCTCTGTCTTGTAGGGTTGCTATGAGTCAGAATCAACTCAGTAGCAGTGGATTTTCTCCCAGTTTTGATCCTCTTTCTGCTCTGTCATTTTTTTTTTTTTTTCCTTCTTTCCTGTTTGGGTGCCAGTCTGTCTAGCAATCCTTGTCATAGAGAGTAGTGAGTTCTTTTACCTTTTTCCTAGCAGATGACCTAATTTTCATTGCTTGTGAATGTGACCCACTAGGATGGTAAGGTGTACGTAAGTCACCCCCATTTAGTTACCAGAACACTTATGTTTGAAATTAAGGTACTTAGAGAGGAATTGTGTGTATGTATCTATTTGGGATTCTGTTTCTGGACTGTAGATAAGTAGTAGAAATCAGAATTGCATTTGAAAACATACCAAACTTAAATATAATGAGTTGTTACTCTTCATCTTTGCAGGGATTTGTGGAACTGACTGTATTTCCCACTGTTGCAAACTTGAATAGAATCAAGTTGAACAGCAAACAGTGCAGAATATACAGAGTGAGGGTCAACGATTTAGAGGCTGCCTTTATTTATAATGATCCAACCTTGGAAGTTTGTCACAATGAATCAAAACAGTAAGTTACACGTTTTAAAAGTATTTCTAACAGTTACGCTTTTCTCAAATGATTGGTTTAATTTTCCTCTACAAATTTTTCTCCAGTATTATTAGATGCTGGATCCCAATCATTTAATACAGTGATCAGTTCTACTTTTTTCATGTAATACTTTGTTTTTACTTTTCCAGGAATGTACATGTGCTTTGTTTTATCTTTTTTTATGGTTGTATAATATTTTGTTTACTCACTAGACTGTAGTTTGCATGGCTATTCTCTAGTTGTTTGATGTTTGTATAGTTTCTACCTTTTGCGATCAGAAATATTGTCAAGTGAATGTTTTGATACGAGTGTTTTTTTTTTTTAACTTTGAATTCTTTCTTAGGCAAATAGAATTACTTACCATTCTTAAGACTTTATTAATGCCTTACTTGATTGTACCCCAGTAAGATTTGCACTAATTTAAATATTATGAACTACATTTGAAGAAGTCTGTAAGGATTCTATGTATTATTTTCCTCCTGTGGGAACTAAGGTCAAACAGCTAGTTAACAGATGTTTATTGAGCATCTCCTGGCGTATGGTGGCTATGGCGGTTAGCTAGTCAGAAGTTCCCACCTGCCAGTGAGCTTACACTGTTGTGTACCGTGGTAAGTAGAGATACAGTATTACAATTCGAAAAATTCCTTGTCATCCTGACTTGTTTTGTACATCTTAATTTCTGTCACAAAGTTTATTGCGCCCCTTTACATTTTTGCCAGATTGACAAGAATTCTTTTTTTCAGTTCTTTGTATACGCTATGAGTCAGAATCGACTCGATGGCAGTGAGTTTTCTTTCTTGTTTTTTGTTTGTTTGTTTGTTTTTAACATAAATTCTTTACATTTGTATCAGAAGAGCATAGTGATCCACCCCCATCCTTGCACACTGCATCTCAGGGTCCTGTATTTTTGCAGATCTTTTAAATATTAATTTTCTTGCAATTAAATAAAACAATAAAGAAAAATTTTTGCTAAAAAAAATTTAGTGATTTTGGATATTCAGAATTAATGAAGAGTAATAATCTAGTGGCACAGTGGTTAAAGTAACTAGACTGCTAACTAAAAGGTGGATGATTCCAACCCATCAGCTGCTCTGCTCCCATAAAGATTTACAGCCTTGGAAATTGTGCTCTGTTCTATAGGGTTACTAGGAGTCAGTATCAACTTGATGCCCATGGGTTTTATTTTGTTTTGTTTGGTAATAATCATAATATATTCACGTAACATTAACCACCAGAATATATGTGCCATTGTGTTTATAGTATGGTGCATAAAACAACAGTTATTTGGCTAAAAAAATGTGCTTATGAATTCTATAAGAAGATATACAGGCAATCTTTGGGTTACAATGAGATCTGTTCCTAAGTGTGTCTCTAACTTGGATTTGTGGGTCAGTTGGAACAGGTGCTTACAGTTCTTATTTAACCTACCTTCCTGAAAATGCATTACCTACTATACCTCTATACTAACCCAGGAAGCCAAAGAGAAGAGTGTTTCAGCCAGGGGGCAGTTTAAGCATAGGCACTGAAACAAGGCGGGCTTGTGCTTACTCACTG